GGCAGCGGCGGGCAGAGCGGGGACACGGCGCCTCCCGCACCTCGGCAGGGCTGAGCACAGCTCGCGCAGGCAGCGGGGTTAAATCGCGGGGCCGGCGGGGCCTGAGGCGGGCGAGAGAGCCCGTAACCGCCGTTTAAACGAACGAGAAGAAATCGGCATCTTCACTGCGTGGACAGAAATAGCTTCAGTTCACAAGCATGCGAAACTTGCTCGACGTGCTTGCAGACACTCGGCGCGTGCTTTTTTGAAGGAAACAGGATGGATTTTTGCAGCCTGGGAGCTAAATGTCTGAATTAACGTTCTGCAATTTTGAAATCTCATTTCCAACGCAAGTCAAATTTTATTGCAATTAATTAGGTGAAAAATTAAATATACAAAATTATATTCAAATATCATTAGAAAGGGTCCTGGCAAGTGTTTTTAGAGCCTGCATTTGATTCTGGGTTTTCTTTGAACGGCAGTTCCGTCTGTGAGATTTAAATTACTGTAGGTACCGAAATTATGCACCCATTTTTTTTTACAAAAACGTCTCAAAGTCCTGACAAACAGTAGGAGTTTTTGATGTATTTTGAAGATATATACATGCTGTCAAAATAACCCATTTTCATTATTTGATAAAATTACTAGAAAGCGACAATTACTAGAAAAATTACTAAAAATCAACAACTGAGTAAATTAGGAAGTAGAAAAATACGTAAGAGTTTCATCTTTAAAAAACTGACAGACGCTCTGAAACTGCTATGGTCACCTTTACCTTCAGCTCAACTCTTGAGTAGTCAACCCCAGTTCCCATTTCTAACAGCGACGGTGTTTTTCTAGGTTCCCATCACAATCTTGGCTGCACTGCAATCTCCTTTCTCTACCTCATCCTTGAAATTGTTTGTCCCTTTATTTACCTTGACCAGCGCGGCAGCAGTGAGGCTTCCCAGGCAGGGTGACGGAGCACACCCCGTGCCCCTCGGTTATTTTCACGGTCTGCTGCCAAGCCTGGAACCACAAACAGGAAAGGCAGGGCAGTGCTCTGCCACCTGGCCCGACTTGAACCACGGCGCCAGCCAGGGAGCCACGCCTGATGCGTCTGCGTGCGGTCACTAGGACCGTAGTACTGAAACTGCCCACACTCTCAAGTTTCATTATTAAAATCTTTTTCGAAATAGCAATTTATAACCTACATATTGATCAATGTAAGCTGTGTCGGACATATGCTGCAGTAGTAGCTAGAAGCTAACGGGTTTGTTCAATCAGGAAAAGTCGCGAAAAACATCTCAGGACTCCAGGACTCACTATGCTGCGTGATTCAAACACATGTAATACCAAGAAAGCTCTGACCAAAGGGATCATATACAAGTCCCAAAGCAACATATACAATCCTAAAATATGATGGGTAACTACCTAGGAAAACAAGATAAGAGGTGAACCCAAAGCAACATGAAAACAAAGTGTATAGACTCAATAACGCATCTCCAGGCCACCCTGACAACACCCGCTCAAGGCTATATTAATGACCTGAAATGACCTTTCAATTCATTTGAGTGAGTTGTGGCTAAAGCCTCCACACCACACAGCTATTCTGAGCACCTTCTGGCTTTGCGATACATTATATACCGTGGGTATCAAAAGAGAAACACGGTAAGTAGCAGGAGATTATCAATTTATCCATATCGGCCCTCCTAATAGGTTTCTGTTTGTGTTGCTTCATACACGACCCTTCTATTTCCTTCCGGTGACAATAACGACATCAATTTTAGTAACCACAGGAAAAGCTGTGATACTCATTGGGGAAATTACTTTAAAGTAGTAATGGGAAATGGGTTTGATTTATGTCTCTAATGGTTTCGTAAAAGAAGGTATAAGGCCATTTCCACTTTGTGAAAAGCAAGTTTTTGACAGGCAAACAGCTGAGGTGATGTCCTTACCTTACCAAGATCAGTGACTGACAACCCTCACACTGAATTCAAATCAAGAGCTCTCCTCTTCTAATGCACTTTAGTTTACATGTCACAAGCATTCAAGCAGTTCCAGCAAAGTCAACAGGACATTCTTAGTGTGCAAGAATTAGTTTAAAGGAATTAATTTGCAAGTCTGCTGGCATGTGAATTTGGTTTGTGAAGAGGTTCCTGCCATGCAGAGCCTAACTATACCAGCTGGTTCTCCTGGCACACACAGAGCTTATACCAGCAAAACAACGCTTTTACTAATACAGGTTGTTTTGCTTATGTGGGGAATAATTTAACTACACCAATAAAACAATATGTATTCCATTACTGATGAAGAAATCCTAGCATAAACGTAGCCATTGTCTGTCATGAAGAACAAGAGGAAAGACAAGAAGATTGGCAGAATGGCAAATTTGTGAAGCAATATTTATAGCATTTTTTGGTTGTAAAACATTATTTGATCTTCTGAACCCAAACTGTACCTGGATCTTAGAATCATAGAATCATTAAGGTTGGAAAAGACCTCTTAAGATCATCGAGTCCAACCGTCAACCCAACACCACCATGCCCACTAAACCATGTCCCTAAGCACCTCATCTACACCTCTTTTAAATACCTCCAGGGATGGTGACTCAACCACTTCCCTGGGCAGCCTGTGCCAATGTTTCACCACTCTTTCAGTAAAGAAATTTTTCCTCACGTCCAATCTAAACCTCCCCTGGTGCAACTTGAGGCCATTTCCTCTCATCCTATCGCTTGTTACTTGGGAGAAGAGACCAACACCCACCTCGCTACAACCTCCTTTCAGGTAGTTGTGGAGAGCGATGAGGTCTCCCCTCAGCCTCCTTTTCTCCAGGCTAAACAACCCCAGTTCCCTCAGCCTCTCCTCATAAGACTTGTGCTCCAGACCCCTCACCAGCCTCGTTGCCCTTCTCTGGACACACTCCAGCACCTCAACGTCCTTCTTGTAGTGAGGGGCCCAAAACTGAACACAGTATTCGAGGTGCGGCCTCACCAGTGCCGAGTACAGGGGCACGATCACTTCCCTACTCCTGCTGGCCACACTATTTCTGATACAGGCCAGGATGCCATTGGCCTTCTTGGCTGCCTGGGCACACTGCCGGCTCATGTTCAGCCGGCTGTCAACCAGCACCCCCAGGTCCTTTTCCGACAATCTTCAGAAGTATATACAGCACAGAAGAGGGTGAGAGCATTAAAGTGATCCATATTTAACAGAAACAGCTTCTGAAACTAGGTAGGCTGAGCAGAACATGTTTGTTTTGGAAAACTGCTGCAGGAGGTTATGATGACATTTACACTGGAAATTAATATGGGAGGGAAGATATATTCATATGAACAGTTCTCTTTTGTTAAGTAAACTTGGAAAAGTAGGCCAAGATTTTTGCCACAGATGCTCACACGTATTTTTAAAAGTCCTTTCAATGAACCATGATATAAACAAAGGGTAACTCGTGGAATTTAGACAACAGTTGAGATTTAAGAACAAGCTAAGAATTACTGGGTTTGAATGACTGAGGTACCTCTGGGTAGTTTGATGAAGAGAGAAGAAAAGCACATTTAGCACTTTTCATCCAAATTTAGTATTTAGTATTCTGAATGCTAAATGTAATTTAAGGTTCTGTTTGGTGTAGATCAGACTACAGACTGTGAGATAAATGAAGAGACAGAGCTCATTCTGTTATTCAGGGACTGTCTACATCAGTATATGAAAGCATTGAGTAAATATAGTGAAACAAAAATGTGTGGGAAATGCTGAAATGAAACCAGAAACATTTTAACT